ATTATTATCCATTATAATCTATTATAACCTGCTATGGACTTTTTGAGCATAAACCTGAAAATGTATTTTTCCAATGTAAACTGTTGTAAATCCTGAATGATTTGGAGCACAGTCTTAAGTTGGGTCTCTTTTTGAAGAAGACACTTGGTAAATTATTGCGGAATTGAAAAAGGTTTAAAAAAGTGTAACTATTAAAAAGTTTAATTGTTATATTATTAGTTTAATTATTAATTGTTACTATTAAAAAATTATGACAGATACACAAAAATACTATTTTAAAATTTTATATGAAATATATATTCACCAAAACACGTTTTACTCTAAAATCTAAACAAATTGTGTTCCAAATTTGAGGTTGATATTTAAAAAAATGAGCTGTGAGTGTGTGTGTGTGTGTGTGTGTGAGTGTGTGTGTGTGAGAGAGAGAGAGAGAGAGAGAGAGTGTGTGTGTGTGTGTCTGTGTGTGTGTGTCTGTGTGAGTGTGTGCGTTTGTGTGTGTGAGACAGAGAGAGAGAGAGAGTGTGTGTGTGTGTGTCTGTGTGTGTGTGTCTGTGTGAGTGTGTGCGTTTGTGTGTGTGAGACAGAGAGAGAGAGAGAGTGTGTGTGTGTGTGTCTGTGTGTGTGTGTCTGTGTGAGTGTGTGCGTTTGTGTGTGTGAGACAGAGAGAGAGAGAGAGTGTGTGTGTGTGTGTCTGTGTGTGTGTGTCTGTGTGAGTGTGTGCGTTTGTGTGTGTGAGACAGAGAGAGAGAGAGAGTGTGTGTGTGTGTGTCTGTGTGTGTGTGTCTGTGTGAGTGTGTGCGTTTGTGTGTGTGAGACAGAGAGAGAGAGAGAGTGTGTGTGTGTGTGTCTGTGTGTGTGTGTCTGTGTGAGTGTGTGCGTTTGTGTGTGTGAGACAGAGAGAGAGAGAGAGTGTGTGTGTGTGTGTCTGTGTGTGTGTGTCTGTGTGAGTGTGTGCGTTTGTGTGTGTGAGACAGAGAGAGAGAGTGTGTGTGTGTGTGTGAGTGTGTGCGTGTGAGTGTGTGCGTTTGTGTGTGTGAGACAGAGAGAGAGAGTGTGTGTGTGTGTGTGAGTGTGTGTGTGTGAGAGAGAGAGAGAGAGAGAGAGAGTGTGTGTGTGTGTGTCTGTGTGTGTGTGTCTGTGTGAGTGTGTGCGTTTGTGTGTGTGAGACAGAGAGAGAGAGAGAGTGTGTGTGTGTGTGTCTGTGTGTGTGTGTCTGTGTGAGTGTGTGCGTTTGTGTGTGTGAGACAGAGAGAGAGAGAGAGTGTGTGTGTGTGTGTCTGTGTGTGTGTGTCTGTGTGAGTGTGTGCGTTTGTGTGTGTGAGACAGAGAGAGAGAGAGAGTGTGTGTGTGTGTGTCTGTGTGTGTGTGTCTGTGTGAGTGTGTGCGTTTGTGTGTGTGAGACAGAGAGAGAGAGAGAGTGTGTGTGTGTGTGTCTGTGTGTGTGTGTCTGTGTGAGTGTGTGCGTTTGTGTGTGTGAGACAGAGAGAGAGAGAGAGTGTGTGTGTGTGTGTCTGTGTGTGTGTGTCTGTGTGAGTGTGTGCGTTTGTGTGTGTGAGACAGAGAGAGAGAGAGAGTGTGTGTGTGTGTGTCTGTGTGTGTGTGTCTGTGTGAGTGTGTGCGTTTGTGTGTGTGAGACAGAGAGAGAGAGAGAGTGTGTGTGTGTGTGTCTGTGTGTGTGTGTCTGTGTGAGTGTGTGCGTTTGTGTGTGTGAGACAGAGAGAGAGAGAGAGTGTGTGTGTGTGTGTCTGTGTGTGTGTGTCTGTGTGAGTGTGTGCGTTTGTGTGTGTGAGACAGAGAGAGAGAGAGAGTGTGTGTGTGTGTGTCTGTGTGTGTGTGTCTGTGTGAGTGTGTGCGTTTGTGTGTGTGAGACAGAGAGAGAGAGAGAGTGTGTGTGTGTGTGTCTGTGTGTGTGTGTCTGTGTGAGTGTGTGCGTTTGTGTGTGTGAGACAGAGAGAGAGAGAGAGTGTGTGTGTGTGTGTGTGTGTGTGTGTGTGAGTGTGTGTGTGTGTGAGTGTGTGTGAGTTCACATACAATAGCAAAAACTGCTGAAACTTTACTAAGTTTCACACCATTCCACTGAATTAAAACATTTCAAAAACCCAAAATGTAAAAAAATTTTCAGTCAAAGATGACCAAACAACACCAAAACTCACATTTCTCAGAAAACAAGACTTAATTTCTTCATTATAAGTTCTTCAGTTTGTGCTTAAAGTAAATGTATCTTGATTTAAGGATGTTTAGATATTTTGTACAGGAAAACAAATATATAAACATCCTTAATAAAAAATACTGAGATAAGATATTCTTTTTTTGGCAGTATGTGCAACATTTAAAGCCATGACTTTAGAAATGTAAGACTGGAAGAGCAGATTAATGCGTTTTAAGACCCACAGAAACCCTGCTTTGTAACCCCTTTAATTTATTTTTTGAAATATAAGACGAAATGTAAGAAGGTGAATGACTGATGCTGTCAGTCCCAAACATGCATCTGCTAATCGTCTCCTTTTGTGTTTCACAGACGAAAGTAAATCACACAACAAGATGTGAGTAAATAATGACCTTCATTTATGGCTGAACTATCCCTTTAAATATATTTAACTTTTTTTAAAGCACATTTATGCTGTCCATTTGATTGAAGCGCATGGCAGGAGGCAGTCGTGTCTCTTCCAGAGCTTAAATGTGAGTATTCTGTCCCTTTTTAATAACGGCGTAATTGCACAAACTCCCATGTCAATTATAAAGGATAATCACTAATTAGCTGATGGCTGGAGTTAAAAGAGAGGAGAAAAACTCACTCTTCTCCACAACAGCACATTAAAGCACACAACTATACTGATTATATCGCCAGGGATTTTGTTTCGTGTTAATGTCTTAATGGTGATTATTAGCTTCAGAAGAGTCTCTCCTAAACACAAAGACATAGAGGGCCTTTTCTGCAGTAGAAGTGCTGTTAATGCTGCAACAACAGACAGAAGAAAACAAGTAATACCCTGAAGCACTGCAGTGCTGCAATGTGCTGCAAAAATGAAATACAAGAGATCAATGGATGAAGCCGTCCTCCTGCACACTAATGCAAAACACAAGCATTTAGTAAAGTGCTTGTTTGTGCACATCTCTTAATTATTCTAAATAAAAAGTTTCTTAATGGTTCTTTAATGATATCAAAAGTTCAATCTAGAAACCTTTTATTCTAACGTGGTTCGTGTTGGGAACACGATTGCAAAGAGAGCGTTGTTTTGAACGGTGTTGGCTTATGTACAGCCGTGTCTGCACATTAAACGAAGATACAGAAGATACTTTCACCTCTGAAGCACTGGAACTGAACCAGAAAAGTGTTCGGTGGAGAACAAAAGGATTCTGAAATGTAACACTGTGTCAGTCACTTACTTATGATAAATGTCATATCTGCACTGTCACTTTACCATCTGATATTTTGATAGCATATTTACAATTAAAATATTACTTAAATAGTGTTAGTTATTGCTTTTGCTGTATGTGTATACATATATATATATATATATATACACACTCTTAAAAATAAGTGCTAACATAACATAACATCTGAAGAACCTTTCTGTTTCACAAAAGCTTCTTTGTCGCAAAAGAAGGTTCTTCAGATTATAAAAAGCTAAGAAAGATGGTTCTTTAAAGAACCTTTGACTGAATGCTTCTATGGAACCAAAAAGGTAAAGCTTTTAAGCAACTTTATATATAAAATGTTTTAGTAATTAAACATCTTTTACTTAGTAAGTAAAGCTTTTTATTACTAGTTTTAATTTAATATGTCTATGCAGTTTTTATATTTTTTTTATTTCAGTTTTAGTTATTTTAGTACTTCAAGTTAAGAAATGCTGCTTTGGCAACCAGTTAAAAAATACTAAATAATATGTTTGTTTTTTATATTTTATAGTATCATTATAAAGTATCATTGAGATACTAATATTGTTTTCTATTAATGTAACATATACAATATATACACTCAATATTAGAGTGTAATATAAAGAGATTTTTATACAAATTTGTTGTTTTATATTTAGCTTTTTTCCATTTTGAAATTTCAGTAATTTTTGTGTTTGTCATTTTTAGTCGTTTTTGTAATATGTCTATATAGTTTTACATTTTTCAGTTTGTTATTTTAGTACTTCATGTTAAACTAAATTAAAATGAGAAATGTTGCCTTAGCAACTAATTTAAATAAAAATATGTTTTTTATTTTATTTTATTCCAGTAAATTCTTTTTATTATTTTATTGTTTATTATTTAAAATAATTATTATTGCTATATTTCTTATAAATTACCTATATTTCACATAAAAGTTGTATTTTTACAAATATATCAAAGTTATTTGCTATATTGTTTTTTTGCATATCACTTTGTTATATATTGCATAACATTTGGTGTGTATATATATATATACAGTATATATATATATATATGTATATACAGTAATTTTTTGTGTGTGTGTGTGTGTATGCATTATTATTATTTACTGTTATTGCATGTATTTATTTTTTAGCCTGTGCTTGCACAAGCAGTCATAAAAGTCACAAAAGCAGTCTTAAGCAGCACAGGTATATTTGTAGCAATAGCCAACAATACATTGTATAGGTCAAAATTATAAAAAATTATTATAAAATTATATAATAATTATTATATTTTCTTTTATGCCAAAAATCATTAGGATATTAAGTAAAGATCATGTTCCATGAAGATATTTTGTAAATCTCCTACCGTAAATATATCAAAACTTAATGTTTGATTAGTAATATGCATTGCTAAGAACTTCATTTGAACAACTTTAAAGATGATTTTCTCAATATTTAGATTTTTTTGCTCCCTCAGATTCCAGATTTTCAAAATATTGTCCGATCCTAACAAACCACACATCAATGGAAAGCTTATTTATTCAGCTATATAAATTAACCTATATGACTGGCTTTGTGGTCCAGGGTCACATATAGAGGCCTTTTACTCACAGATTTAAAACTCGATCGACTCACCGAGCATTTGTTGGGTTTCTCCCCGGAGTGGATCCTCATGTGGATGAGGAGATTGTAGCGTGCGTTGAAAGGCTTGTGTTTGCGAGGACACTCGGCCCAGAAGCAGGTGAAGTCCTCGCCCTTGCGCTGGTCGATGTGGATCTTCTCGATGTGCTTGACCAGCTCCTCTCGCTGGCCGTAAACAGCGCCGCAGTCCAGCCAACGGCAGCAGTGTCCTCCGCTGACGTCCTCCTCGTCCTCCTCCAGCATCGGGCCGAGAGTCGACGGAAAGACCCTGAGGTTGTCTGAAGACGCCTGAGAGACCGCTGGGATCTGAACGTGAGATGCTCGCAGATGGGCGTTATAGGGCGGTGGAGGGCCTCTAGGAGGACTAGGAGTCCTAATAATAGCGGCCAGTTCAAATTGAAGCTGTATTGAAGGCGACAGGCTGTTTTTTGTCCCAGTTTGGATCTCCTGTCCAGGTAGAAGTTGGTGCTCCACTGCTAGATTGGTGAACTGGTCTTCTAGTGCACTGTAAGAAATGACCGTGATTTTAATGGTAAATAACTGTAAAAATGCTACAGTAAAACCCTATTAATTAGTTAATGGTAAGTTCCCCTACTATATACTGTGAAAAACTGTATTGGACATTGCATTACAATTTTACGGTAAAATAAAATTTTTGGAAGTGGAAAAATAATGTATAATTTACAGTTAATAACCGTAAATTGACATTCCTAGAATTCCCTGCGTTACATTTCACATATGTGACCCTGGACCACAAAACCAGTCATAAGGGTAAATTTTTTTTAATTGAGATTTATGCATCATCTGAAAGCTGAATAAATAATCTTCCCATTGATGTATGGTTTGTTAGGATAGGACAATATTTGGCTGAGATACAACTATTTGAAAATCTGGAATCTGAGGGTGCAAAAAAATCTAAATATTGAGAAAATCATCTTTAAAGTTGTTCAAATGAAGTTCTTAGCAATGCATATTACTAATCAAACATTAAGTTTTGATATATTTACGGTAGGAAATTTACAAAATATCTTCATGGAACATGATCTTTACTTAATATCCTAATGATTTTTGGCATAAAAGAAAAATCTATCATTTTGACCCATACAATGTATTGTTGGATATTGCTACAAATATAGCTACTCGTGCTACTTATGACTGCTTTTGTGCTCCAGGGTCACAATTGATGTTTTTTTGTTGAAATAACTATGTTTCTTCTTAGTTCCCTTTCAGTCGGTCACTCTCGACGTCACGTCGGAGG